GTAGGCTAGGTCTACCGGGTACCAGTCTGAGTCTAGGGCCTGTAGGGGCAATATCAGAGTCGGCAATGATGCTCCCTCCAAAAGAGGAGGAGGTACCGGTTGCTTGGGAAGGCCAGCGGCCTGGAAGTCTCTGCCCAAGAGGCAAAGCAGGCCGCTATATCTTCCGGCCGGGCGGAAGACCAAGCCTCTTTTTCGGTGTGCAAGTTTGGCGACACACTGGTGGAGCGCTGGAGGGAGCAGCGCTGGGCTGGAGCTGCGCTGCTGGGGCGGAAGAAGAAGGACATGAGGGAGGAAGAAGGAGGAAGGAGGAAGGAAGGGGGAGGAGCGCCAGGGGTACTTACCTGGCTATGGTGGCAGCCATCTTCATCACCTTGGTGGGCGTTGCAGCAAGGAGTCCCCAGCCGGGGGGAGTCACACCAAGAAGCTTCAAGGCAGGGCTGGGCATGGCAGCCTGAGCTGGAGCAGGCATAGCTGTTCTGGGTTGTCCTTTGGACATCTGAGCAAGGCCTAGTAGTCCGCCATAGCCTCGGCCTATGAGAGTGAAGAGTGGGAGAGGCGGCCATGGCTATGGTGGACCTTGAGTGACACCTGCAGTAGAAGAGGGACTCGGACATGATTCTGGACCAGTCATTCAACATTGTATCATTATTCCTTGTATGAATAAGAGAAGGGGGAGATAAGGAGGAGGAGATTGTTGGGCGAAGAAGAAGAGCCTTGTCATTGTCTTTGCTGATGTACATCTTCTTCTTCTTCTTTCTTATTTCTTCTTCTTCTACTCCTCTCTCTCCTCTCAAGTTCATTCATTTCTTTTTGCAATTGGATGGCATTGTACTTTCCAGTGGATGTGTATCTCCAAATTGGCCAGGGTCATAACATTGGTATCGGAGCGGATTCTACTTGCTGGTGAGAGTCGACTTTGCTGCCCTAACCCTAACCTAAGTGGTTGAGGGCAACACTTAGGGTTAGGGTTGGATGGTTGAGGGAAGTGGGGCAGCGTGGTTAAGGGAAGCTGCCCCCACCTGGTTAGGTCATGTGGGGTCAACATAGAACCTAACCAGGTTGCTTGAGAGTGAGGTTGGGGTGGCGAGACATTTCGAGGAGACTTCATGCTGCGATTTGAGAGAGGCGACAGTGAGAGGCACTCGCACCTGGAATCTGATTCAAGGGAGACACTTGGCAACTTAAGGGCTGCCCTCAAGTAGGCGAGCTTGAGGGTCAGTGGCCATTCTGCATCAACGGACTGCAAGTTGCTACTTTGTTCTTCAACATCGACGGGGGATCCGGCGTTGCACTTGGGTGTTGGAGTCAGACCCTCCTAGGAGATAGGACACTAGTGTAGGGGTAGCGTTAGATGGGTCAGGAGGACCATATGAGAAGGGGGGTGAGTTCTCTTCATCTCGAAGCTCAAGGCCACTCTAAGTGTCGTGCACCTACGGGATGCCCGTGTATGTGTGTATGGTATTGATTGTCCTGCTGGGGTACTCTGGGTTTCTTTTCCTACTCCTCTGTGG